GCCTCCAACCTACTAGCGATGGCCTCCAACCTACTAGCGATGGCCTCTAACCTACTACAGTAATGGCCTCCAACCTACTAGCAATGAATCGGTTCTTCTATATGAGGACGTTCATGTTTCATTCATTTCGTTTCAGAGTTCCAGCATGTTTCAGCCACACGAGAGTGATCAGCAGTGCCATCAAAAACACACGCCTCCGCATGACGAGCTTGCTCTTCATTGAACTTCCGCAGTGTCTGCAACGAGCTCGTGTGGGAAGTGGCAGGCCAAGGGTGTCAAACGCAAATGTGTTGGTATGAGGGCCGTGAGCATTAATGTCTTGAGCAAGGACATAATTACAAGAATTGTTGGCTGAAAGTCTGAAGATCGCGTTCAATGAGCTCATGCACCCTTAGTATCCCTTAGTGTGCTATTGGCCTCTTGCTGCCGAATCTTTTTCAACCTCTCCTCTTCCTGCCACCTTGGACATCCGAGTCCGAGGAATCAAGAGAGGCAAAGTCTGTTTGATGTGTTGGGCAATGGCAGGGGTTCCACCGTGAATAGGCGATGATTGTTCGCCGGTCTTTCTCCCCTCTATTGAATTGTCCTTTCCATGGCCTATTGCTGCGGCAAATGTAAGTATGCGTTGCCTAAAAGGGACTAGAACCCAGTCCTTTTTAGGAACCACACCATAATTAGAATTAGATTGGCCGCGGATTTGATGCACTCAAGGATTGCCTTTGTCAAACCGCCATGAAGAACCACAGTTTGAGAAGCCCATAAAGGGTCTACCCCTAATGAGGCCTTGGTGTAACTAAACCAAGCCTTCCTGCAGGCTTTTCAAAACTGGACCTTTTGGGGGGTGATTGATCCGGTCTTGCCATTACACGGCACGTGACAAGGAAGAGACCAGTTCATGCCATTACATCGTAAATAGATGTATATAAATAGTCCTGTGATTGATGCAAATGCTTGGGAATGGACTGAGCTGCATCAGCCTGCGGGTTCAAAGGATCAGGCATGAGTGAATGGCAGTTTGAAAACCAGAAAGAACAGACTGTCTGACTCGGACACGAAAACACTCTGGCAGCAGCAGCGTGGTCTCAACAAATAGTACAATCCATACGACGGTAGCATGGCAGAATGCCGCCTGGATTTTGCTTCCCCAATGCATTCTGGAAGACTTGAAGTCATGGTCCTCGCTCGTTGCTTGGCAAGGTCGCTTGGTCAGGGATATGCGACCTTCTCAGGAGGTTGCGCCATCTCGAGCGCTCTCCGCTCTCCTCCTTTCTACCAGCTATCAATATGGATCAGCTCAGGGATGGTTGGTATTATTGTTCTGATTCTGACTAGTAAAAGACTAAGAAGCTTCAAAGACATACTAGAAAGCTTCTTGTTACTACAGGTGAAACGATTCCCAGTGAAACGATTCCCAGGGAAGCTTCTAGGTACTATCGGTGGATGCATTGTTGGATCTCTACGAGTCATCAAGCCTCACCCGGTTTTCAATTTGAAACTGCCGTTGCTGAAACTCCTGCCTTCTTCCGAGCTTCTCTCACCTGAAAGGGCCGCATGAGTACAGATTCCACTGGGAGATCCTTCAGAGCAACTGCGTTTTACTTAAAGCAAAAAGAAACAAAGATTATCCCAGTACTTCTCATGAAGTCGTCAAACAAATAAATTGAAACTATTAACTATATACAGTACTGTAATAAACTGCTTTGAACAAATGTCCAAGAAACAAAATAATGATATCCTTCCCATTATCCAAATTCAGCACTGCACCTGCTCTTCCAGCACGGTCCTCTGCCTTGGATTCCATCCCCAAAATCAGTTGTGGTTGGGTATGACAAATTATGACAAACATCACTCAGTGCTGCAAACAGGGAGTCAGGGATGGATGGGGGACTGGATTGGGGATAGCGGGACAGGGAATCCGTCAAAGGACAAATGTCGTCAATTATCCAACAGTATGCCGAGTCCGGAGTCCCGAGAGACCATTTCCAACCCAACAAGTGACCTCAACGTCTGCCTGTAATCCTGGGCAATTTTAACCCTTCCTGTCTTTCTTTTCCTTTCCTTTCCTTTCCTTTCCTTTCTTTTCCTTTCCCTTCCCTTCCCCTCCCTTCCATCCAAATCGTGCGCTTTCTTTCCTTCCTTATATACTTCCAATCCTGCACTTTTCCTGCCCTCCCCCTTTTACATGCTGCATGCCCAGGGCCCGGCCTTAGCCCCGTAGGGGCTTTCCCTAAGAAAAGTGTCTTGAATGTGTGTTGAGTCTATCATGCTGTGACAACGGCTGTCGAAGGACCAAACTATCCTCCTGTCATCGCAAGCCTCAAGATCATTTCTTGCTTTGTCACACACCACGACGTTGACAAGCTCTCAAGCATCCAAGCTATCCAACAATAAGTGGTGCCAACAATGGAGCATGCATTAAAATAGACTGTGCGTCGCGTGCGAAGCATTTGGAGCCATGCTGGACCCATCAGGTGGACGGAATACGACGACCAGGATATACCAGGGTCTCCCTGCAAAGCTTTCTGCTCAGCTGCCCGATCTCGCTCCAGGTTGTCCTGGGGTCCATCACTTCGAGGGTCATGGACTCACTCTCTAGGCGGAACAAACATGAATGCGACCGGGTCCTGGATCAGGCCATCAATTGCGTCCATCTCATTTACAAGCCTTCAAAAAACGGTTCCGCTGGAGTGATCCATTGCATCACGACCTGCACTTCAAGCCTCCAATGGAGCATGCCATCACCAGCTTCGTCACCAACAAGCTTTTTGATGTAGGAGCCCACCTGCTCTTGGACCTGATCTTGATCTGAGATGGAATTCGGATGGTTCGGAATAACTGTTGACTGTGCAATTTCGAAAAAGCCGCCAAGCAACCGGCAAAGAAAAACAGACTTGCACAAGCACACCAAACAAGCATTATAGGAAGCTAACTTAATGTCGTTGTGTGAACAGCCCAGCAAGGCACATGATGCCACACAGAATTCAAGCCACCAGTCCCTTCGTTGCACCGCATTGTGCTGCTATGACTGTCCTGATGACCATCCAATCCGGGCCTTGCGAGAGCCTCCGGTTGCAGCTCGACTTGAAGAGTCCTTGGCTGCGCGACTTTAACCTAGAAGCAATGGCCTCCAACCTACTAGCGATGGCCTCAAACCTACTAGCGATGGCCTCCAACCTAATAGCGATGGCCTCCAACCTAATAACGATGGCCTCCAACCTACTAGCGATGGCCTCAAACCTACTAGCGATGGCCTCCAACCTAATAGCGATGGCCTCCAACCAAATAGCGATGGCCTCCAACCTACTAGCGATGGCCTCCACCTAATAGCGATGGCCTCCAACCTAGAAGCAATGGCCCCGAGACCCACTTGCCGAGGTGACGGCTGTTGGATGCTGCGGCGTCAAGGCAGGTACCGACCTGAATTGAAGTCGTTGGTGGCAAGTCATGACACGACCTGGGTTTGTAGGATGCTCCTTGGATCTTCTTGGTCCTTTATTGGCAAAATTCACCATATGTCCATATGCGCTGAGTTTATCCAATTTCGTGACAAGGGTACTTCTTGTAATCTGTTTTTTTTGTGGGGTGGGATCTGTTCAACCACCATTCCAAGCCACGACTGCATTGTGGTGCGGAGAGCTTCAGTGCCACCACCTGCGGGAGATGCTGTTGCCAGTAGGCTGGTAAGAGTTCATGCTACAGTGGTAGCATTGCATTCAGCGTCCGATCACGCAGCATAGTGCGGTATGTCAAGATTCCAAAACCAAAAACCCTTTCATTCTACAACTTAGAAGAACAAATCATGTTATCGAAAAAAAAATGAAACAAAACATCCCTCTGTTCATGGGGCTTCAAACACTTCAAGCTGCGAGCTGCGGCCCCAGGCTGGCGAGTCTATGGGCCCTGACAAGTCTGCAGGTTGCGCATGGGTGGTTCAAAGGTTCGTGAGTACCCGCCTTCACACCATGACTGTTGCGGTTGAACAAAATATAATCATATTAATTGTGTACTAATTATGTTCAATTATAGCAAACATTGTTAAACTCAAACTCAAAGGTTCAAGTTCCACTTGGAAACCAAAGCATGAAAACGTGAAACATGGTGAAACCAAATCGAAAACCTCAAGAACCGACCCCCCCCCACTTCTGGGAATCCAGCGAACTTGCCCCGGTGGGAAGTCGCACCTGTTCCGCGCAGTTGGAACACCGAGTAGGGTGGCGTCAGGTTGCATCGTCTTGGATGAAGAAACGGTCCATGCAGTCCATGGAGTGGATGCTCTGGTCAGTAATGCTATGTGTTTGCAATGTTTATACATGTTTTCATTAATTAATCATGTTTATACTATGTTTAGAGATATTTAGAGTCTAGTGCAAACAAAATTTCAACCGATATGCATCTCCTCTCCCCCAAGCATGTCCGGCACACCGGCGGCGCCGGCTTGTAGGGCGCCCCTCCGGGCGGCGCGCGCCGCACTGAAGAAGCCCTGCAGGTCGGGTGTCAAATGTCTGCAAAAGAAACCAGGCGCAACGTGACATGTGCAAAATCTGCTTATGTGTGCCTGGAATATGCTACCGGTATACACTGTAAGGGTTGACCTTGACAGGAGCTAAAGTTTGCGGGTAGTCTGGGGTTGAAAATGTAATAATGTCCCTCAAACTAACTTCGCAGTCGATTGAGGACGTATGATCGCTGGATACCTGGCACTGGGCTCTTCACTCATGTCTCTTCTGACGAAGTGCAAAAGTAGAAAAAAAACTGTTCTGGCCCTCAAACGTGTAGAGATCAGGTTCTGTCTTTCGTTTCTCCCATTTTCAGCGGTCCCTCCTGCTAATCTCTGAGGGTGCAGGAGTAGGCTTTGCCTTGCAAGCCATTGAAGACTTTCCAAAGAGTGGGTCACCCTAAAGGCCTATGAACTCCAGCGATTGGCACAGCAACAGTTGACAGCAACTGTGGGGCAAAAAAATCAATCTTGTCTGCAATGCATCAAAAGACTTCCCCCCCCCGACACACTTCGAACTTGGGTTTTCAGTTAACGCAGTTGTCTCGGTGAGAAGGAAGGTGATGGAACAGCAAGGCGAAAAGTCCGACAACTTGGAAGTGTTTTAACATCGATTGTTTCGCTTGACTCGGCTGCATATCGGCTCAACTGCAGCGCTGCTGGGGAGGAAATGGTTTAGGGGGAGGAACATGAACGACCATGGCATCAAAACACAGCAAGGAAGAGTGGAGTGGTATCATGGCGCAGGTACGTTTTCCTGATCGTCCAGTGTGGAGCTTCGTTGGCAGAGGCCACGACTGGAGATCCCTCTGCCCCCTGCGTGTGGAAAGTGGTGGAAAAATGGTGAAAAGAGTGGCGGTGGAAAACCCTTTGTCCAGGGTGGGACACACACAGATCACCGCATTCGGCGCTTTTTTCAAAAACCGGTGGCAAGCGTGGTAGTTATGCCCCTTTTGGACATATAGGTTCACGAGTTCAGCCGCAGCAACGTCAGCGCTGGAGGGTGGAAATGTGTATTTTCGAATGGTGTGAAGTCGTGATTGGAGGCCTGATAGAGCCAAGCGCTGGCTCCCGGCGGTTGTGGAGTCCCGGATTTTCCAGGGTTGAGAAGGTTGCATGTAGGTGATAGTGCGTTGTGGGAGGTTGATGTTGAAACCGAGGAGATGAAAATCTTCCACCGGTTCAAGTTCCACAGGGTCGCCAAAGAAATTGTGGTGGATGAGGGTTTGGATAGCCGGGTGTTGGAGGAAATGTTCGTTGTGGACAATGAAACGGTTGTCGACATACCGATAGTAAGTAAAGTGGAGGTCTGTGTGTTGAAGGAGGTTGTTGTGGATCTGATGCCATGAATGCTCAATAAGGGTGATGGCAACATTGCATAGGGCTGGAGAGAGCTGGGATCCAATCCCGGCCCCTCGGATTTGTTTGTAAGTGTTGTTGCAGGCCCGGAAAATGCATGTGTCGAGGGCAAAAGCCACAATGGTGGTGATGTCGGAAGTCTGGATGGTGCGTTGGGTAGGGTGTTTTCGGTGGTGTCTGCCAATGTGGGAGTGGTGGAACGGATTGCCGGTGGCCTGGACATCCACCGTTAAGGTGTGTGTGGATTGCTGTTGTTGCCAGTGGAGAACAAGGGAGTGGACTGCATCGATGAGTCGGTGCTGGGGGACGGAGTTGAAAAAGCCGACCAGGTCATCATTGGTGGCGTGTAGTGAGATGTCGGGTGGAGTTTGGGTGAAGTAGCTGTGAAAGTGGTGCCAAAGCTGTGGAATGGACATTTGGCCTGGATGTTGAGGGTAGAGGTGTTGGAGGATAATGTCGAGGGCACGGCTGGTGATGCGTAGCAAGTTGCCGCTGAGTGATTGGAAGTAGGATATAATTGTACGGCCTTTTTGCCAGTGCTTCTTCTCTTTAAGGTGGACAACACCATAGGGGATGTTGAAGTCTTTTCGGAAGCCCCACTTGTAGCGGGTGCGCAGGATGGGGGGGACCGTGGCGGCCAGGTGGTCATGGATGTTGGCGACAGTGATGTAGGGAAGTGGTTCAAATAGTTCGGGGGATTGCCAGGTGTTCAAGGCGCCAGTGAAGTATTGGCGAGGGCAAAACAGTCGCAGTTGTTGGAGCTCATGATCGGCATGGTGGAGTAATGTGTGTTTGCCCACATGTTCTTGGAGTTGACGAAGCAGGCGGGCCGTAAAACGGGGTTGCTGCTTGAGGTGTGTGTTGTGAAGGCGCCATTGGTGCTCAAGGAAAGGCTGTAGGTGTTGAACTAGGGATGGTGGAAGCCCTTGCAGTTTGAGCCATTTGGTGTAGGCCGTCTTGAAAATGAGGAAGTACCGAGCTTTGCTTGGGTAGTAGGTGCTGTTCATATTGGCGTTGAGAAAAATGCTGAGGTGTGTAGGGAGTTGGAGTTGGTCAAGTGTAAGGATGTAGTGGCCGTTGATGGTAGGGGTATCGGGATCCTGCAGGAGGGTGCGAAGGTGATCGCATGCACAGGGGAGGTCTGCTGGATCTGGCGGGGAGTGGAGGGTGTCCTCCCATGTGCGGTGGTTGTGCAGGTGGGAGCGGAGGGTTTTGTGGGCGGCTTCCCTCAGTCTGTGGGAGGGGAGGTGGAGGGGAATGGTGAAATGCTTGTGCTGCTGGATGGTGGTACGAAGCCATTGTTGGCAGTGCTTGGTGAAGTCGTCGTGGGCCAAGAAGGGCACTGTCAGTGGGATGTTTGGCTTAGGGGGGGTGAGGTTGCGGTAGATCAAGGCTTTGTTGAGGATGTGAAGAGCTCGGCTGCGGCCAGGTTCTTCCAAATTTGCGGCCATACGCCGGATTGCATACACCTCGAGGTCCGTGTGGCGGCCGCTTCTTATCTGTTTTGCTGCCTCAAAAGAGGCTGCGGTGTGTTTGGTAAGGTTGCGAAGAAGTTGGAGGGCGTGATGCTTGGTGGAAGTGTAGAGGTGTGGTTCTCGAAGGGTGTACTGGCGTTGTCGAAGGCGTCGGAAAAGTCGTTTGTGGGTGGCTAGTCTGGAGTAGAAGTGGGCTCTGTGTTTCGCGAACTGCCATCCCTGAGCTTTGAGTTTAAGGTGGTGGGAAATGAAAGGCCAGTTGAGTGAAGGCATCCAGTTGGCGATGTAGTGGTGTTCTTGGATCCAGGCTTGGTCGTATGTGTCATGGGAGGTGAGTTGGATAGTGGTGTAGTGGTGGATGTTGTTGTGTGAATGCCAATAACGTAAGGAGAGTTCTGCAGAAATGGGAATGTTGTTTTGGAGTTGTTTGAGTTTGGCGCGGCGATTGTGCTCGCGGTGGGGGATGCCGATAGCTGTGGAGCCAACGTAGAAGTGGCCATGTTGATGGTAGCAGCGTTGGGGTTGGTCGGGATTGAAGTGGAGCTTGATGTAAACGGAATTGGAAGAGAGGAAGTTGTGGTAGTGGTAGGTGTGGGGTAAAAGGTGGAGCTGGCGGAGGCGGTTGCGCCACTGTTGTGAGCGACGGGTGTTGGAGGGGTATGCGAAAAGAAGTGTGATGTGGATGAGGCCGGTTGCAAAGATGGCCTCGGCGCGGTCGATGTATTGGGTGCGGTGAATGAGGATGGAAAGTGCTCGGTGCAGGTGGAAGAGTTGGGTGAGGTTGGTGTGGCTGGGTTGCTGCTGGGCCAAGATGGCGAGTCAGCAACCGATGGCTGCGCCGACTCCCACCAGCTGTTGTAGGCTGCGAATGGGGAGTCTGTTGACCCGGTTAAGGGGGAGGCCATACTTGGTGGCTGCTTCTTTTAGCTGCTGCGTGGTGACTTTGCTTGTTTGCAGCAGTCGGATGACTTCCTTGGCAGCTTCTTGGATGGTGGGGTCAAAGGTAGTGACCCATTGTTGGATATCTGGGTAGTTCCAGCCTTCGGGGATGTCGTCTTGCAGCGTGGGGTGTGGTGGTTGCAAGACGTCGGTGATGGCTGGTGGTTTCGGTGGTGGTGGTGTGGGTGCGTGGGAAGGGGCGGCTGGTGCAGAGGATCGGCTGGTGTTCTTGACTGGTGTGAGCGGGTTGCCGAGGTCGTGGAGTTTCTGACGCGCACGAGCCAGTTCGTCGTTGGTGTTTTTGAGGGCGCATAGGGCGGAGCCTTCCGCAGGTGCTGGAGAGTGGGTTTGCAG